CCCAGCTCCCTCAGCCTTTCCTCAGCAGGGAGATGTTCCCCTCCCTCCAGCATCTCTGTGCCTCTGCCCTGGGCTCTTCCCAGCAGTTCCCTGTCCTGTTGAACTGAGGGGCCCAGAACTGGACACAACATTCCAGACATGGCCTCATCAAGGCAGAACAGAGGGGCAGGAGAACCTCCCTGACCTACCAACCACCCCCTTTCTAACCCACCCGAGGATCCATTGGCCTTCTTGGCCACCAGGGCACATTGCAGGTCATGCTCATCCTCCTGCCCACCAGGACCCCCAGGTCCCTTTCTCCTGCCCTGCTCTCTAGCAGCTCAGCCCCCAGCCTGTCCTGGTCCATGGGCTTGTTCTTCCCCAAATGCAAAACTCTGCCCTTGTTGAACTTCATCATGTTTCTCCCCACCCAAATCTCCAGCCTGTCTAGGTTTCTCTGAATGGCAGCACAGCCTTCTGCTGTGTCCAGAGCTCCTTCCTCCAAGACTTCAGAGAGCCAAAGGCTGAAGAACATCATCCACAGAGCAGCGTTTCCCCCGACCTCCCATCCCTCTGCCCAAGGCAACCCCAGGCAGGACCTCACCCACAGCATCAGCTCCCAGGGCCTGCAGCAGGCGGCTCTCGGCGATGGTCTCGTAGCTGGGACCAGGCAGCAGGCAGTAGACACCTTCTCTGGTGAAGCTCAGGAAGCCCAGCTCCCTCGTGGCCTCCATGGCCAACCCGCGCAGCTCCCGCTCGTAGGCGTCCGACATGCAGGGGAACCTCACCCCGAACCTGCCAGGGAGCAAGAGGGCACAGCCATCCTGCTGCTGCTTCCCCAGCAGCAGGCGAGGGGTGGGCACCTCGTGGAGAAGAGGGGGAAAATGGGCCAGGGCAGATCTGGCAAAGGTACAGGCCCTCGTCCCCATCAGACACTTTGTGTCTTCGGGATGTTCCTCCTGGATCGTCAGGGATGCTCAGCACCCAGAGGTTGGGGCTGCTGGGAGGTCTGGTCCTGTGTCCCTGCCTCACAAACCCTTCAGGAAGGGTCCTTCCAGAGCACAGAATCCCAGACTGGTTTGGGTTGGAAGGGACCTTCAAGATCATCTAGATCCAACCCCCTGCATGGGCAGGGACACCTCCCACCAGCCCAGGCTGCTCCAAGCCCCATCCAACCTGCCCTTCAGCACTGCCAGGGATGGGGCAGCCACAGCTTCCCTGGGCAACCTGGGCCAGGCTCTCACCACCCTCACACCAAACAATTTCCTCCTCATGTCTCACCTCAATCTCCCTCTTCCAGTTTTAATCCCTTCCCCCTTGTCCTCTCCCTCCCTGCCCTTGTCCCAAGTCCCTCCCCAGCTTTCCTGGAGCCCCTTCAGGCACTGGAAGCTGCTCTAAGGTCTCCCTGGAGCCTTCTCTTCTCCAGGCTGAACACCCCAACTCTCCCAGCCTGGCTCCAGAGCTGCTCCAGCCCTGGGATCACATTCATGGCCTCCTCTGGACTCTTTAAGATCCCTTCCAACCCCGAGCACCCCATGATTCCATGACTCCTGCCTGCAGGACTGAGGACCAGTTCTCTCTCTTCTCCCAACACCTGCCCATGGAGAGGCTGTTGAACCTTGCCCAGACAGTCCCTGCCCTTTGCTTCTCCTGCACCATCTCTTGCAGACACGTCCCCTGTGGCACCAAGTCCCAAAAGCTGTTCCCATGGAGATGGTTTGAGCAGGGCCTGGAGGAGCATCCCTCATGGCAGGGGGGAGCTACCAAGCCTGGCTCCTGGGCAGGGACACCCTGTGCCCCACCAGCAAGGGCTGTCCTGCCCTCACACTGACACCCTCCTGCTTGGAGCTGGATGCACTGGACAAACCCTGTGAGATTTGAGTTCCTTCCCCTTTGCTGTCCAGGTTAGACCAGTTTGAAAGGCCTTAAGGAATGACCTTCTTTGGCAAGGCAGATGAACAAAGCTTGCTAGTCAGAAGCTACATCCCAAGCAAGAGCATCCACTTCTGGCTTTGGCTCCTGGCTCAGCAAGATCACACCAAACACAAGCTTGGAGACTCCTCCAGAGCAGAAGTTGCCCAGCTGAGAAGCCCCAGCAGGTTCTGTGCCCCTCCAAGGGGCATGGACACATCCTGCAGGTCCCACGTGGCACCTGAGGTTGGGGGCTGGAGATCCAGCTGAGTGCCAGATGGATTAGGAGACCATTCTGGGTGCCCTCCTCACAGGGAAACGTGGAGAGCAGGACACACTGCAGCTCCAGGGCCAGGTTGGAGGGGACCTTAAGGCTCCATCCTCTGCTTCAAGGCTGGGGCTCTCGTTTGCTTTGGATCTTAAAACAGCTAGCAGTTCTTTTCCCACCTGGGCAAACCCTCCTTCAGACCCACAGAGCAGGAGTAGATGGTCCAGACTGGTCTGCTGAGGAAACTGGGAACACAACCTCCCATCCCATGTTCACCAACTCAGCCCAGTAGGGATGGACCAGCTCCCCCCAGCAGCCTGTGAAAGCTCCTCCTTGTTTTCCTGCTCTTCCAGCTGGATGCTCAGGGCAGGAGGTGGCTCATTTGACATTAATAATCACTAAAAATGTTACATAAATTAAAAAAAACCAAACCCAGCTTTCCCATCTGGTGGAAAATAATCAGTATTCAGCAGCATGAAAACTGCTCCTCTCTCCTGCAGGATGACCAGCAATGCAGAACTCAAGCTCTAATTGAATAAATTCCCTCCCCAGGTTCTTGCAGTTGATGGTTCCCTTTCCACATCACTTCCCTGCCTCTCGTTTGTCTCAGATAAATCCCTCTTGGTGGCTGAGCTGGGCAGGGTTTCAGAAGGATTTTGTTCCCCTTCAAGCTGATTCCCCCAAGGGGTTTTATTGCCCAGTTTGATGCCTTGGTCAGCAGGACCAGAGTCACCTCCCCAGGCACTGCAGTCTGCTCTAGGAAGCTGCTTTTGGGAGGCAAGGAGGCATCTCTGCTGCCTTTGAGCCTTGGCCAGGTGCAGGAACTGGCTGGTGTTTCTCCTCCTGTTCCTGAGGGATCCTACAAGCCCAGGGAGCTTCCAACACTCCACGTGGCCTCTGAGCCTTTTGATCATCCTTCCCCTCCAACCCACATGGGTGCTTGTGAGGATGGGAAGATGTTCTGCTTCAGGTGGGCACTGTCCTCTTGCCTTCTGAACAGCAGGGCAGCTTTTGTTTCTCCTGAGGTAGCACCCTGCAGGTTGCTTCAGAAGCAGGAGCCAGCTCTGGCATCACATCAGGAAGGAGCCAAGTGGAGCTGGAAGCCAGGCCACCTTATCCTCAGCCAGACCTTCCTTTTGGGAAGATCCCAGGACACACCAGGCACCTGCCCTGCCAACAGGTCCTTTGGCCAAGATGAAGGGACCAACCCAACAATGAATTTAACCATCTTCTTTCCTAAACTCACTCCTTGCTCATAAAACCACCAGTCCTGTCCCCTGGGTCCACCCACCTGGCTTTCATCTTGCATCTCTCCTGCCAGCTTGGGTAGGAAATAGTTCTTGCTGTTCTCATCTCATCACAGTCCAGCCTCTTCCTTCTCTGTCCTAAGACTCTTGACAGCCCTGGATCTTCACTGCTCCCACCTTGACTCTCCTGACACCTGCTGTGCTGTCCTTTGCCCAGCCTGACTCTCCAGGGGCTGCCTCCTCATGGTCCTTTTTAGACCCATTGGGGAGGCAAAGGGCTCCCTTTTGCAAACCAGGTCACCTCTGAGCCTTGCCTTCCACCCCACCAGTCTGATGGTGCCTTGGAAAGGTTTCAGGATCACAGATGTATCCAGGTGGGAAGGTATCTCAAGAGAACATCCAGGAGAAAAGCAACTCCAAGTCTAGAGGCAACAGCAGTTCAGGGGAGATGATGTGTTACAAGCTGCTCTGTGCACCACCCAGAGGTCAAGGATCCTGCTTCACAGCTGGTTGAGGAAACCTGGTTTCCCAACTCAACCAGCAGCAGGTCACTGGTAGATCTAGAGACCTCCCCAAGAGGCTGCCAAGATCAACCACCTCTCCACAGCCTGATGCCTCCAGTGAAGACATGATGTTAACAAAGGCACCTCAGCTTCATCACCTGGACACAAGGAGGGTCATCAGGAGATGCTGAGGTTTTATCTTTGTTCTACCAACTTCCTGCCAGGCCTCTGTCACATCAGCTCCATCACAGCAGAAAGGGCTGTTGGTAAATGCCTGGAGACACAGAAGAAGTTGACTGGATCTCTCCATGAAGAGGAACAAGCAGAGAGAGGGATTTACAAGAAGAGAAAGGAGCAGGTCTCTTCAGCAGGTGGTACTGCTGGCCATGGCAGGAGAAGGATCCCAAGCCCATAAACCAAAACCTTCTGGAGGTTTGTGTATGAAGTCCTTACAGGCTTGTAAAAGTGAGGGCAGGTGGGTCAGTGCTCACAGCTGTTGCTTTGGCTTGTTGGGGTGTTCAGCCTGGAGAAGAGAAGGATCCAGGGAGACCTTAGAGCAGCTTCCAGGGCCTGAAGGGGCTCTAGGAAAGCTGGGGAGGGGCTTGGGACAAGGGCAGGGAGGGAGAGGACAAGGGGGAAGGGATTAAAACTGGAAGAGGGAGATTGAGGTGAGACATGAGGAGGGAATTGTTTGGTGTGAGGGTGGTGAGAGCCTGGCCCAGGTTGCCCAGGGAAGCTGTGGCTGCCCCATCCCTGGCAGTGTTGAAGGGCAGGTTGGATGGGGCTTGGAGCAACCTGGGCTGGTGGGAGGTGTCCCTGCCCATGCAGGGGGGTGGGACTGGTTGAGCTTTAAGGTCCCTTCCAACCCAACCCATTCCATGACTCTGAGTGCCCCTTGTGGGCTCCTGGAGCCCAACCCCAGCACTCAGCAGACACTTCCCAGCAGGGGTGACTGGCAGTGCCAGCAGTGGCTGCAGGAAGGGAAGATCCCCTGGGAACCCAGGGCTGGTGCCTTCTTACCTCTCCTCGTTGGGTCCACGCAGCGGGTTCTGCCCTCCCAAGCCAAACAGGCTGATGTGGTCTCTAAGGAACATGATGTCCCCCACTTGGAAGTGGGGGTTCAGCCCCCCAGCAGCATTTGTGACAATCAGGATCTCCACCCCCAGGAGGAAGAAGACCCTGATGGGAAAGGTGACCTGCAAGAACCCAAAGGCATAGATGGGATCCCATTCTGTGGACACCTGAAGGGGCTTGGTGAGGCCACAAGGAGACAAACCCACTTCTCTCCCCATGGAATTTTCCCCTCTCATTCAAGCAGAACCAATTTTGATGTTTTTGGTTTTTTTTTGCTTTCAAGACTTGGCACGAGCACCATGAAAATTCAAGCCCAGGTTTCCCTGAGGTCAAACAAACATGGTGGGAGAAGAAAAATGCAGATCATCCTTCCCCTGCTGCCAAGGGATCAACCCTCTGTGCTGGTTGAAGGAGCTACTGATGCACGTGGACATGGAATGTCATGGATAAATCAGTTTTTAAAGCCAGGATGCACTTCCCAGAAGCAGAGAGATCCTTTTATATTCCCTTTCATTCCCATTAAGTCCCCTCCAGTGACCTGTTCATCCCAAAGATAAGGAACCAGTGGGAACTGGGAGAGTCAAGTTGGGTCTTGAGGGGTCAAGGGGGGGGGGGAAATCAGTGTGACGTGATACATCAGAAATGCTCAATGTGGGGGGTGTCCTGGGGGG